GTGAGTGGCCATAGAAACATTGTCCAGCTGAACAACTTATTACTATCAGTTTTTGTAAAACCATTTCACCACAAGAAAGGCAGGAATGTCATTAGTACACAGGGGGTGACAGAGTGTGAAGGTGAGAGAAAAGACTGTGTATAGGGGGGTTGAGAAAAGGATAAAAGATGAAGGAGATTCAAGAAGACAGAATATGGTGATTGACATTGTGTTAAAAGTTTTGAAGATTGTAATTTTCAGAGAAGCAAACAAATGGAAAGGAGTCCCACAGGTGGGAAGTACTAGAAAAGAAACTGTTAAAGTAGAAGTGGAAATTGCATTTAACTATTTCAACAGTAAAAGGGTGGGACCTAGATGCCAATCTAGTAATGTATTTAAATTCACATACTCAGGGTATCAGGGAAAAATGCTTGTCAGAGCAGTAGCCATAAAAATGTTTGTAGAAAACACAGAGAGAAACCATGTCATGTTGATGAAAAAGTGACTGAAGTTTAGATGCTAAGTTAGGATCGATTACAATGCAGATCCTGCTTTGGATTTTGTCAAGAATCTCAAGATGAATAGCAGGAGCCTCAGACCAGATATGGCAGCAGTATTCAATTCACGGATGAATGATAGATTTGTAAATATGCAAGATGGACTCTGGCGAGAAAACCTATCATGACAATGAACCAATTTTCCTTGCAGTAGATGCAGCTATTAATTCAATGTGGTTGTTCCCCTTCAAGTCAGTTGAAAATGTGAAGCTAAGAAGTTACACTGAGACACTTTTCAGGAGTTGAGCATCAGGCATGCTGATGGTAGGCAGGGAAGTTTCTCAAGGTTGGTCAAATGAGAGCAATTTATTTTTGAAGGCATTAAAATTTACAAGCCATTTTCTACCCCGGTTAATCACTGGCTGGAAGACCTTTTCAAGAGCAGTGGACAAGTTAACTTTGTCAGGTCTGATAGCTTTGCTATTCAGAAGAGAGTAAATGATATGGTTATCTGCATAAATGCCTACCTGGGAAATGATGACATCAGTAAGATCATTGATGAAGATCAGAAACAGTATAGGACCCAGGATAAAGCCCTAACAGAAGAAATCTGAAGGTGTATTAGATTAGCAAAAAATGCTTTCAAAAAGCTAAGCAAAGTATTAAGAAACAGAAGAATTCTATTATAAAGACAGAAAGAAGTACTGAACTGTTATGTAATATCAGTCCACTTATATGGCAGTGAATGTTAGACAATCTACTCATAGATGAACAGACTTGAAGCAAAAGAAATGTGGTTCTACAGAAGGATGCTGAGAATAACTTGGACTGAACAGGTGAGCAAAAATGAAATTTTAGTGAAAAAGGAAACTTATACTTAAGAAAAAAGAGATAGTGTAAATTTCAAGGGTACATAATGAGGAAAGATGGCTTAGAAAATTTGACACTCAAAGAACATACTAATGGTAAGAGGGACAGAGGAAAACAATGCATAACCTACCTAGCGAGCTTATGTAAATGGATGGCAGAACAGTGCTTACAAGAAATAACAAAAAGACAAAATTTATTAAGAGCAACAAAGGACAGGAAATTGTTATAATTAACATCAGTAAGAGATGAAATTTTTAGGGCACAAAATGAGGAAAGAGGGCTTGGAAAATCTGATATCCACAGGATATACTAAAGGCAAGAGGGATAGAGTAAATCTCACTTGAGTAAATGGAAAGGCAGGGATTTAGGACATGTCACAAAAAGAGAAAATTTATTAAGATCTTCAAAAGAGGAAATTGAAAACAGAAATGATTGCCAATGTTTTGAATGGACACTGAACATAGAAGAACAATATCTCCACATTTTTAACAGTTAACATTACAAGAAAACTTGCTTAAAAATTCTTTCTCAGACTTTTTAACAAAATATATACCTAGACATGATTTTGGCCTGTGTCAGACAATTGATGAAACACTAACCTTTTCATGAACTATTGAGAGAAATAGAGCAAGATTTCAAAGACATTGGCTGATTTTTGGCAGAAGTACTATGAGTTTAGGTGTCAGAATAAGTATTACACTGAGAAATATCTCTTGAAAAAAGCAGAGACAAATTGAAATTAGCTGTCAAAATAAACAGGTGGCATGATTCCTCTAAGGAAGTCAGCTTTTTGGTCAACTCTCATCAGAATAGAATGTTTGATAAATTTTAAAATATTAAATTCTTTGTCAATAAAAACAGCTCATTTGCTTCCCTGTGAGATGATAGATAATGTCTAGTTTTAAAGTGTCATATCTCATTTTTATTTGTAATTCTATTGTACTAGAAACAGCAAAGTTTCAACAATTTTACCAAGGTAATAAAGCCACTAAGACACAGGGAGTTTCTGAATGTGAATGAATATAAGAAAAAGACACTATATGGTGAGAGAACAATAAAAGAATAGGAATTAAGACAAAAGATAATGAATAATTTTAAAATCAGATGAAAACAATAAAAGAATAAGAATTAAGCAGACAGATGATAATGATTGACATGGCATTAAAATTTTTGAAGATCTAACTTGACTGGAAAGTAAGAAGCTGGAAGAGAGTACTACAAATGAGAAGTGC